TGTCATTACATCGAGCGGAAGAAAGAGCTCGCTGATTATTATTATTATTTGTTTTTTTTTTTTTTTTTTTTTAATCTTTTTATTTCTTTCCAAAGGACCAACATTCACGCCCACATCGATATCGCACCTAATTCCCGTTTGAGCTTCCGTATCGGGCCCGCCTGTTGCGCCCGATTCGCGAGTCACGAGCAATCGATCGCCGGCCGATCGAGATCAGTGCCGGACGTAAATCAACCACCAGCCGGGGATTTGCTCGAGCATGGCCAATAAACACGCCCGGTTAATGATTTATCGCGACGGTGTGTCTCGACGATGTATATATATGCGTGTGATCGTACGCGAATCGATACGATTCGCGGATCGTTCTCTCGCGATCTTTCTTTTTCTCTCTCTTCTTTACTCGCTTCCACGCAGTGAGAGAGAAAGAAAGAGAGGGGGGAGAGAGAGAGAAAGAGATAGAGGGGCTGCGTATCGAAACTCTATTAAACTTTGCCATTTACATGTAGCAAAATATCCGAACACCAATAAAATCAATCGACCAAGAAACACAACGTCCCATCAAGGTTGAATCCACTTAATTTTAATACAAAAAACATTCATAAAACACGATTTATTTTTTATACTCAATAAGTTTCTCAATTACAAAACTTTTACATCTCTGAGAATATTTCGAATCTCTCCTTTCAAAGATGCTTATTAAATAAAACTCAAGCACGACTTTTTTAATGGCGCTTTCTCGAACAGCGATGAATTAATAGACACTCATCTTTTCAAATACAAACGAGCGTTGTTTCGAACTTCAACGCACAAACAACCCCCCCGCCAATTTTTCCCACGCAAACGTACTTTAATAATAACTTGTACTAAACGAATCTTAATTATACGAGATATCCGAAGTCCGTTCGACAATGTGGGTACAGAAATGACTCACTTTACGCAAGGCAAGGGTTAAACACTTTAATTGTCCCTTCGAGTCGAGAGCAAATATATTAAGGATCCCAAACATCTCTTTCCCACTGATAAATTTGTCCAAATTCGTTCTCTGAAACTTTATCTTCGTCAGTATATGCTTTTGGTTTCTCTCTTTTTCCGGAAGGTAAATGTACACACACATTTCTCTCTTTAAAATATTTTCGCAACACTTTCAATTCTCCGATAATGTAGTGTTCAAACTATCAAACAGATATCTGCGGCGCGAACAGATCGTGCTTTCTTTCGTAACGCCTGAGTCATGCTCGGACAATTCGTAGATATATATATATATATATATATATATATATATATATATAATACCTAACATTCGCGTTCGCCACCTGGCTTTATCGCAAACGTCACAAACCGAGGGACTCGGATTTTTACGCACCTCGGGTGTATTTACGAGCAAGTTTTTCCGACAAAAATCCACGAGAGGGGAACAAGATTCCGGCTATTATATTGTGTTGCGAGAACGAAACTCCGACGACGACGACGAGACGACGACCACGACGCGAGCGATCGATCGATCGTCGGGGAGAGAGCGAAACCCCGACATCTCGCGAAGCGAAACACGTTCCCGTGTCGATTCTCCGTTTCCCAAGCGTTCTGTTTTGTTCCGGTACATACAACCTGACATCGGAAAATAACGAAATTAAAGGTCGCGCCGAAATTGACCTGAGAGCGCGCAACGTTCACAGTTATTTCTACTCGCGACTTATTGATTTTCCGAATTCTGTGCATCGCGCGAGTGCTCTCGCGTAAGTTCACAACATACACACAGACGTAAGAGAATTACAAATTTATATTAATCACTTCTTCTAATCTACTTCTCGCTACTGAAAAAGCGATCAGTTAAAAAAAAAAAATTAAAAAAAAAATTAAAACAGAACGGAATTAGGATTTTATTTTGCTTTCCACGTATAGTTCTGGTAATGCGGCGCAGGACGTACAATTAGTCGTTTTATTGATCGCGGTAATGATTATCCCGCAGTAGATATACGAGTCCGACGTAATTATTAATTAAGCGGTCGTAATGTCTGTCTGTAATGAAATACGGGATTTGAACGAGCGACGCATATACACACACACACACACACAATTAATAATCACAGTTAAATACACATATAGCTGAAATAAGATTTATTAATATTCTATGCGGATTTCCGCACGCAACCAGACATGTGAAGAAATGTATGCGAAATTAATATTCGTGCGGTGAATGAATGAATACAGACCGGCAATAACATCCCGTGCGGTCGGAACGGAGCATTCTGCGGAGCAACGAGCGCTTTTCGGAGCATTATGCCACCATTACGACTCATTAAATCCGACGGACTCGTTTAATCCGTGTTTATATCTACATAACTGAGTCTCCGCGCTCCCCTTAGTCTCTGCGCTCCCCGTGTCAACGCCTCGTGTCACAGGTTTCCCGAAGAGTTTAAAGCACCCCCTTCCCCCCGCATCTTCCGTTCCTCACAGCGACCCGACTTGCGTTCACGGCCGACGTTAAAAGAAGAAAAAAAAAACGGTAATTTAATTGGGGTTTAGAATTTTTTAAACGCGTTGAAAATTGGATTTTTTTTCTGATCGTTAAATGAGGTCGCAAAGATTGTTACGAGCGTGATGCAAACCGTCGGTCACGGCTGCGACGTTGATCGTTAGACGCGATGATCGTTCGGTAGATCGTTCGGTAGATCATCGACCACGCGAGTTCCTCACACGCGATCGCGAACAAGCCGAACGTGCACGCGGTCGCATGCATAAGTGAATAAATGATGTGTGATACACGTTGATGCGGTGGAAATATGGATCAGCGCAATCGCGATGATAATATTTAAACAATCCCTGATTAACAAATATCAGTCGAAAAATTGCACTAAAACCTCTCTCATCGATCAGAATTAATTCCGCGTATTGGCTTGGATTACGCGGGATTATTACTCATACTATCGCGCGTCGATCAAATTACGAATCGTTTACAGCTCGTTCGTTGTGTCAGACTGTTTCTCAATATAACGGGGTGCAGTTTCCAGAACTAATTTGCAGCTTACTAGGTCATTCAAGAGAGAGTCCGTTACCTTCGTTGAATGCACAGCGGCATGCGTCCCTTGAACTTAATCAGACAAACATAGTGCCGTCGAACAAATGGATGCGCTTTGTTTCATGAATTTTTATAAACGCGATTTGCATAAATGTATGCATAATTAAAACTAGAGCTTATCAATTTCTCTTCTATTCTATTCGGTGTGCGTATTTTTTTTAATTAAAAGAATCGTTTCTTTCCTATCGTGGGAAAACGCGGTTTCTTATTTAATAGTGTGACTTGTTATAAGAGCGAATGTGTTGCTTTTTATTACAAAACAAAGCGCTCGAGGCCGTGAACTGGATCGCCGAGCGCGCGATGAGAGAAGAAGCCGGATTAGCGCTTTCCCCCTCAATCACGTCTTTTCTAACGGTAAAACGATAGTAAAACGGACGCAGTGGTGAGGAGAAGCAAAATGCACGAAGCTACCTCGTAAATGCTATTGCACTTCGCGATTTGCTGATGCGGCGAAATATTAGATTCCACACGGAGGCCACGTCGATCGTAAATCTAAGACGGCGAGGAGTCGGGGGTCAGTCTCCCGCTTGATGAAATTTCCTCGATGATCCTTCCGTTCTTTCTCTCTCTTCTCTAATAATGATCTTAAAGATATTAGAAAGGAGAGAAAATCTCGTTAACCGCACAACGGTGAACGGCTACGTGATGCGGCTGCGACCGGTCTGCGGCACAGGCCGAGGCAGACGGAGAGTCGTCGACCGAATCGCACACTCGCGCACTTTTTGTCGCTCGACTTTTCTCAATTTTCCGCGCAAGTCGAAACTTTCCCGAAACTTGTCCGTTCACACACGCGCGCACGGTGTCTTCGAGAGCTTTCGATGAGCGAGAAGCGGAGCGGGGCGGTGAACAACACACGCCGGTGAGCGCGGCAAAACGCGTGTTTCTCTTCTCTCCCTCGCGATACTCTCGGCGCGTACAAAGGGTAAAACGAGTGAGCACCACGAAACCACGACACACCGACGATAACAATACGAACGACGACGAGACAACGACGCGACGCGACACGACGCGGCGACACGTTAGCGAGAGAATTCCTCGATCGGAAACGTAACTCTCGCGCGCGCTGGACCACCCTCGGTGCGCGCCCGCGGATTCTGCGACTCTCCGACTTCGTCCCTCGCTCGTTCACTCACTCTCGCTCGCCCCCGTGCGGCGTTATACCGCCGACGAACCACCCTGCCGGGCCGTATTCCCGCTGGCCCCATCTCCCCACCTCCCGCCAGAACGAGGGAGGTTCGCTGGGGTGGGATCAATATGAGGTTGGGCGAACACGGGAAATTCGCGCGCAGGTCCTTCTCCACCCTCGGCGCGATGGATACACTCCCTCCCTCCCCCGTTTGACCCGCGCGCGCCCATCGTCGTGTGTCCTACACCCGGCGTCTTTCCCCGCGCTGTTCGTCCCACCGTCTACACATCCGCGCCCAACCTCCCCGCGTCGCGCGCGTTTTTTTTTCTCGCTCACCCTCGTTGCGTTACCCCCTGGTGTTCGTGACCCGACTCGCGTCACAATCTCGCGTTTTCTCTGCTCAACCCGTCGCGCGCCGCGAGAGAAGTCGATGTCGACCTCGCTCGGTCGCCCCGTTTCCTTCGACGACCCTCACCTGATCGTCCACGCATCTTCGTCGACCTACTCGCGCGTTAGCCCCGACTCGTATGTACGGCCAACCACTCTCCTGTGGTGTTCGCGACCTCGCTTGTTGAGAATGAAAAGGGCTGAGAATATAAGCGAATCTCTGCCGTCGCGAGAGATTCTCGTGGGCTGCAACAACGTCTCTCGACGGTTCGGGAATGTAAAAAGACAATCATAAATATATTAAAACACTTGCAGTATTTATTTCCACTCTCTTCCATTATGAATGATTCTGTTTTTCCTTAGACTCTCGGTAAATTTGTCTTCTTGATCGAATTCTTTTTTTGAAAAAATTTTCTTTTTAGTATTGTATTTATTTATTGGCTTCTCGAGATAAAAAGATGTGCTTTCCTACGCGCGTGTGTAAATTCGAGGCGTTGAAAGCCGAGAAAAAGAGTCTTGAATATCTTTGCTCACTTTGCACAAATGAAACATTGAAGAAACTTTTTTTTCTTTTTTCTTTTTTTTTTTTAAATTTTCTTATACCTCGAGCGTGGGAAAACTATAAGATTCCGCGAGAAGATATAAAACTTCAGGAGTATTAAACGCTTGTCGCGTTTGTTCAAAGATTCCTGCGTGTATCTCTTCTCGCTCAACAAAGTTTGTCTTTACGAGCGAATCGAGAATCACGTTAAATGACCGCGTAATCGCAATTCGAGAGAGTCGTACTCCGGCGTGTTAAAAATGGTTGATGAACTATAAACGGTCGCGTGAGCATACGTTATCATGCGCGACTGTAGTGTAAAAGGGAGGAAAAGTTATAGATCGTAAAACTCGCGACACACACGCAGCCTCCGCAAGGTGCTGAGCCGCGCGCAGTCGTTCCGCTTTTAATCGACGACCGTCGCCGCGGTTCCGAGAAACGACGCGGCGGCTCTTATTCCGTTTCTCCATCAGCGGGAACAGGTTTCCCGCGATAAGGCAAACTTTTTCGCGGTACTCCCGTGGGAACGCCTTGGCAACAAACGCCTCTCGATTAGCCGCACGCTGTATCAACAAAATCGATAACACGCTTCGACGTAAGCTTCTCTCCGAGAAGAGTTTGCACAGGACTTTTGGATTTCCCGGTCGGGTTTTTCGACCGCGTTGAAAGGTTTATAAACACACTCAATAATTCTCACAAAGAATTAAAATTTGATATAGAATAATTCTAATTTTATACGCCGGTAACGAGCGCAGAAAACATACGAAAATAAAATATAAACGACCATCTATTTGAAACACACGCGTATGTCAGTCGGAGCGTTCATTAAAACTGCAAACAGAATCTTGTGAATTTTACTCGCGAATAAATCGTCTAAACTTCAATCATCCCATAAATTTTAATTATTAATACTTTGATCATTGTGATATTACACAATTATACAAATATTAATTATGTAACATTAAATATCAAAAGCTTTGTGAATTCCGTGTGCGTAAACGTTCGTCTCGCAGATACAAGTGTGTGTTACCATTTTGGTCGATTTATTCGAGCGACTCTAATTCGTCTCGTCGAATGTCGTCGTCGTCGTCGTCGTCCATCAAATCTCGCTCTTAACCGATCCTCAAGAGGGTTTCCACGACGATCGAGTGAATTCTTCCGCGATCTTCCGTGAGAACATCCGGCGATGTTTCGCGTCGCGGAAGCACGCTCGCCTCGGCGAAACGCCATCGGTGTCATCGATATTCGACTTTCGACTTGCGTTACGCTCGGTCGCGTTATACAAGAAGATCGATACGCGCGATATGTACGCCCACCTAGTGTGCAACCTCCGTTATTTCTTCCGCTCCCCAGCCGGAAGCAATCAATTAAAAGCGCTTTTATGCCAACCTCGAGCGTGACTCGGCGCAAAACAAACAAAACATTAAGTTTCAGATTCTCTCGATTATGCCAAATTGGAATCAGATTTCTCGTTCTCGAGAAACGTAATTCCGGAAACCTACACAAACTCACTTTGCTCTATTTGTTGAGAAAGCGCTAATTAACGCTGACGTACGAGAATTTCTGGGAAAGTCTCAAATATAGTATCTCGTTTTTTCAGAATAAAAGATGCATGCGGCGATATACGACGTTACGTGAAAGTTTTTACAGATTTATTAACATATTGCGTATTAACGTAAAAGCAAGAAAAAGTTAAAAGCTTTGCGGAAACTGTACCGATTTTTTATTAATACTATCATTGAAAAACGTTATTGACCGTTCTCTTACCCACACGATCAACAGCCTAGATCACCCACGCAATTCAACCTCGGTGAAATGTCAAGCGCTATTTTCTCTCTCTTCACTAATTTTTTCCTTTTTCCCAGATCTCCCTCCTTACATATTATATATATATATCTCTCAAATTTTATTTATTAAATGACAGGCAACCCACAGGAAAACGGTCGTTACATGAAAGGGGTTGATCCGCTCTCTACTGTGAATCGATTATCAGATTCATACACAGCGATCGCTGCCACATACCCACTCGCGATAGCAAAAGAATTACTAAACCTAAAAAAAAAAAAAAAAAAAAGACATTCTCTCGCACAGCTTCGAGACGGACAGACGACACGAAGCGAATGGCGTGGCGCGTCTCTGACGCACCGTAATTATATTGATGGCAACCATGTATCGGGCACACACCATGTCGCGGAGATACAAAGAACCGCTTCATCGTTGCATCGGCGTCGAATTACGCATCTCTTGCGGTATAAGATCGCACTTCCGCTTCTTGTCACGCAATTATTTCGAACTCGCGAGTTAGATACAAAGTACGTACGTACGCGCTCATTCGTGACGCGTGTCTAGGAATGTGTATACGGTTCAAGTACGATTCAAATTGCGTAATTCGAGAAGGAAACGTCACGATCGCGAAATCCACACAGGAGTAAAACTTTGTTTTTCTATTTTCCTTCGCAAAATATTCATGTAAGATAATTCGAATAAAATAATTTTCTGTGCAGTGTTTTTTAATTTATTTGAATCTTATAATATGTTGTTTAATTATCCCCCGAGACAATATTTAGAGCGATTGTAAAAAATATAAATTTCTCTTCTAGGGAAAATTTTGTTTTGTTTCGAAAAATTAAACGCACAAAGTTTTTACACTACGATACGAAAGATAATTACCCGACGCGTAAGAAACGTCCTCTTCGATATATAAACTTCCAACCGGAGTCTTATCAAACTGCCCGCGTATTAGTCCACATTATGTCTCGTTATACGGCCTACTCACAAAGTTCGTTCGAATTGAAGCACCCGTACTTAAAACGCAGTAAAAGCGGAAACTGGAACGCCAAGCGTTTCAAATGAGTTCCATGAAAATATTAAACCTTAAGCATCGGGAACTTCGCAACCACACGGAACGGCTCGGAAACACTGGAGCTACACAGTAATCCAAGTATATCAACGAGAGAAACACACACATTACGAGGAGCTCATTTGAATGAGTCAGATGTACTTCACATCGTTTACACGATAATTAAATTTGCTCAAAAAACAATGTTAACATTTACCGAAAATGTTACACGTTTTATTTTAATCTTTGTGTTGGAGTTGAATGAATTATTTTTGTTTTCTACAAATAAATTTGCAAACAAGTCTGAATTTATTTCTGCTGCAGTAATTAATGCTCGTAAATTATCACTTGTTATTATTACGTAGGTAAATATTCGAAGTATATATATATATATATAACGCCGCGGTAAATTATCTTATTTTTTTAAATATTTGTAAAAACACACATTTTTATAACTTTGCTATTTGTGTGTGTACACACAAATATTTTCTTTCTTATATAAATAAATTATTTTTACTATAAATATAATCATTGCGCGCGTTATTCGCGTATTTTAACGAATACAACTTTGATTCGTCGTCGCGTCGAGAGGCGCGAGAGAGCGTATGCCAAATGTTAATTTACCGGGCAGTCGGTTGCCAAGAGTCGTTTAGATGCGCGACGGAATCTGTATTACAGTTAAAGCGTCCGTGGTAGGGTATTTAGCATGGCAACGCACGATTTTGCGATGCGGCAGAGCCGAGAGATACGGTAGCCAATTCTACCGGGAATCTAAATCTCTCACCGACGCTGCCCACATCAACCCCGGCCTGAGAATCGCATTCCCGGACGGCGAATGGATAAACTGCCAGTGTGATTGAGTGTTACTCGGTCTCTCTCTCCGCTCACGTGCGCGGTTACATTTTCATGAGGTACAATAACGATGCAGCTCTCGCACAGTTGCGGATAAATATTTACCCGATGTCATTATTGTACGCGTTTGCGTAATTAGGCACGAGTGATTTGCGCGATAGAAGCCATTTTCAACCTTCTCTTCCATCGCGCATTTTAATAATTTATGCGCAATGAATTCGAAACCCTTGTCATTATACGCGAAATTGTCAAGG